ATCAGATAGCGTATGCATGAATACACTCCTCCCTGTGACACTGTTGGCAGTGAGATGTCACTGAGTGAGCGCTTATGTACTGTGCAACTACTGCATTCACAATTAATAAGATTTTTCATCTGATATTGTGTGTTTTGGTAAAAACATTGCATCATGAAGGTTTGTCAGTTGCTCTACAGGCCAGATTTGGTTCGTTGTAAATTATGTTCTTTTTAAAAAAAATCCACTGAAATGTAGTGGATGAGATTAAGGAGAATATAATACAGTTGATGGAGATCCCAAAAGAAAACTTTGTGGACGTTTGAAAATGTAGAAATGGCACTGGGATAAGTGTAGGAGGTCGCAAGAAAAATATTTTGAAATGGACTCCAGTGTCATTGCTCAACAGAGGCAACTTTTTTTTTCTTTCTCTGGATAATTTCCATGAAGACTTTGGACAAAAGTTTCCAAATAAACATTAGTAATCCTTGCCCAAAATTATGCAACACTTATTGTCATTAGTGCACATGAATATGGTAGTCAATAAATCCTTCAGGTTAGTCTGTAAGTACTTAAATAACAAAATGGATTCCCTGACAGGAAGGAACATTATGCTCTTCATTACCAACCACAACTAGCTTTCTTCTTGGATAATTGGTGTGTGTGTGTGTGTGGGGGGGCACCTTTTAATTCAGGGTTGCATGGAATGTCACCAAATTACAGTTACTGTATTTTCTTGAGTATAATATGAGAAATTTGGAAAAAAAATTAATGGCTAAAAAGGGGGGGTGTATTATACCAAAGTACATGTTTACAGAAATTTTTAATCAGCTTAAAAAAACCCTTTTATTTGAAACCATAAGATTTCAAATACACTCAGCACATGTTAAATGAGTCTATTCTTCAGACATTGTTCATACAATACAAGATACTACTTGTTCAATCCGCCGTTCTTCACCAATGTAAAACCGTTCTGCCTTCTCACTGCTTCAGCCCTCTTATCAGGCCAACACAGCGGCTGACCAACCAATCAGCGTTCTTCGCTTTTGTTCTCAGTTACTCAGGCAAATAGCCTCCTCCAGTCTGACCAATCAGCATACGACTTGCTATTGGTTGAACCATGCCAAATGGTACAAAAAAAAAAAAAAAAAAAAAAACAACCCCCCAAAAAAACACAGTTACAGCACATACAGCTGATGCCACATGCCACACGTTGAGGTAAGACACTTATTTTCCTTTGCATTAATGAAAGCCACTCTGGCTCGCTTGCTTCTATGTGACTGCTTAACACAGCACAATAAATAATAAAACACAAATTAGGCAGGTAGTGATAACAATTGTTTACAAAAGGTATTTGATATGTCAGCATTATTTATTCTTTGGTAATTAGCATAATTGAATGTCTTTTGTCTCAAAGACAGGAAATTCACTGAAACTGATTAAAATTTAATAAAGGGAACAAATATGATCTGTAATGTTTTGATAACATTAATGTTACAACAAAGCAACTTCCCCGAAAATTTGAAAATGTTTTCAAACGGAAATCAGAAGAAACATGAAATGACTAAACATCCCCTTCATTTCCATTCCTTAATATTGTGAAAAATTAAATATTTTTGTGAAATGTGTACGACATTGAGATTTTAATGGATAATATGATACAAGAATTTATATAGGGATGGCTGTACTATGTGGTTATTATACTCAAGAATGTAATTTATTATGTTATCGCTTCAGAAACACCAAGTCATATTATATTCAAGTTGTATTATACACAAGAAAATACAGTATAGATTAGACATCAATTTTTACATTGAAGAGAAAACATTGAAAATACTTTTAAATTCCTCCAATATATAATGCTTATCACAAATCTTACTGGATTCATAAAATTAGAGAAGTAAATAATCCCTAACTATATAATATAAAGAGTATATATGGCTGTCATTTTAATGTCAGTTGAAGAGAGCTAACTAGAATTACCTCCAGGGATTGAAAAGAGATTTATATATTTAAAAACATGTTAAAACCTAATAGTAAAGATTTAGCAAAATATATCATTTATGACAACAGAGGTAAAAATGTGTGTGTGTATAACACAAGTTTAAGATTTGATTGTCCCCTCCACCACTTCATGAAAACAGGGCAGCTTAAAATAAAACAATAGAAGAACCCTTTTCCTGGCAATGTCTTAAATTGCTGAGTAGATTGGGATCTCTAGACTTAGGTGGCAACCAGTCTAAGAGAAAGAAAATACTGAATTCAAAACTGTAGAGAGAAAACAATAGGAAATCAGTTCATTACCATTAGCAGGAAGTCATGACAATTCACAAATACCAAAGGAGAGGAATCCATAGAGAATTATGATTGCTTATGTCCTGATGGGACATGACATAAAAATACCCCCCCCAAAAAAGTGATTAAAATTTTTGCGGTTAACTTAAATTTTGGTCTGTACAGAATGATGCTGGTTTGGAATACTGAAATGACAAGTTATTAGAGGTCTTTGCAATATGGTCAATTTGAACACTGATTAGAAAAAAATGATAAAAAAAAACACATACATGCAACTAAGTATTTAAGCAAGCAAAGTAAGCACAAATAGCAAATCACACAAATTTTAGGTGTTAAGTAGGGGATTGGGCTGGGTGGGTGGTATGGCTCATACAAAGACAAAGAGAGAGAAAATGTAGGGATGGAGGCCACAGCTGAAACACCATGCAATACCATCCTAGCAACTGTTTCTCCAAAAAGATGGTGAAGCAGCTACTTTGGCATTAACGGTGGTGATAGTGCTGGTCTTTTTCCTTTTTTAAAAACCCAATATCATATTTTGAACATACCTTTTGTGTGTGTGTGTGTGTGTGTATATATATATATATATATATATATATATATATATATATTTTACATACACAGGGTAAGGGATAGTTTAAGGAGTTTTCATATTAAAAATGACCTTTTACAACTGAAAAGTTTTTAGTAGGCTGTCTTGTAACTGAGATACCATATATACTTGCATATCATGTAACTTTTGACCATTGCTAATTTTAAGGAGTTTGCATCATACACAAGATATAAAATTAGTGTATGTCCTGCTTGCCCTGGCTATACTATTGACCAAACTATATATCCATTATATATATATTATATATATTATGTAGATAAAAAGTACAGCAGTATTTAAAATAAACAAGATTTTGATAAAACTGATGTTTTACTTAACTGTATCCAATAATAATGCATATAATATTCACATATTAGTATTGTATTATAAAATACAAACATAGCAAATATGTATGTTTTACATTGTTTATGTTTATAAGATGTTTAGCTGGTCAAAACCACCATCTATGCTTTCTAAATCAGCTGATTAAAGCAAACTACCGATACTGTTAGCATTCTCTTTTACTTATTTAACTAGAAGATGAGATAAAGAGACAGAGGAAAAGAAGTTAGTTTATTGTAATTTGGTTTCACATGATACACAAAATACATGATAAAATCATATTTATAAGTGAAAACTTGGAGGGGGGCATATTAAACAAGTACATATGGTAGTTATGTATTTCACATTCATCTCAGAGTTCAATATACAAGCCTAAATGAAAGTGATTTGAATACCGATTGTCAAGACAAGCAATCTCCACTTCCCTTTGAAGAGTAGTGTAATATAACTGGTCTTCTCCACTCTTGTACAAAAGGTTAGATCAGTAAATATTAGCATTTCTTGTAGGCATGAAATAGTGCCATATTTGTTACAGGTCACAGTTTGGACCAAGTTAAAACAAAAGGTGAGATAGATCAAAGACTTCATGACAGTCATACTGAGAACAAAGCTTAAGATAAGAATTAAGCCACATCAAAAGTGGATTAAAGCATTTCTGTAATCTGTGATAATACAAGTAGGATTTAGAAGACATGTAAAATAACATTCACTTTAATTATTACACATGTCAGATTATAAATAAAATCTATTAATTCCTTAGAAATTATTGTGTGAGAAAAACAATATATGCTTTAAAATGTATAAACTACTTCAACCCCCTGCAAGTAAAATTTTCAGGTGATGTTAATTTCTCGTGACCTGAAGATTGCAGAAACTCAGTCATTGTGAGCTGAAGTACTTTATGCATTTTAAATTATACACACACAAGGTATATTTAAATAGCAAAAATTCATCAAAAAAAATTTCCTTAAATTCAACTGACAAAGTTGATTTAATTTTTTACCTTCTATTTTACCAATTTAAGTATTTTGTACATTGGGATCAAAATGCTGAGTAAATGGTCCAAAGTCTGGTTTCATTCCATTTTCATTCACTGCAGCTATCTAAGTCATTATCAAGAACTGGGTATTGTCAGTGTGGTAGACAAGATTTTGTTGGCTACATCCTGGGTTTTGTGGGTTTTTTGGGGGGGAGGGGGATTGAAGCACTGTCATTCAAATTCTTCACAATGACAGAATCAGTCAAAAGTACTTTAACAAAACAAACTTTATACAGTTTATCCACAATTTTGATCCTTATGTACAACTTCTTATTCAAAAATTGAATAGGCAGTTGAATTTAATAAAATTCACAGTCATGTGTGTATGTTATACAAGTAATATTTCAATTTTCTTATTGGTAACTGACTTTATCCCTACTCCACCACTATTTTGCTAAGTTTGGGTCATTTTTGCACTAAATATTTTCTTGCAGCAGGGTTGGGGGTAATGCTGGATGATTAAATAACAAATTTTAGTTATTTTCATTGAAAATTTGTTTTAAGATTCAGCACTTAATTTGTGTGTTGTACAATGAAAATGAGGGAGGAGGGAAGGATTGTGAGTGGGGAGGGAAGGATTGTCAGTGGTCAGGAATTAATGCAAGTATTACTGACCCTGTAGTATTATCATATGTATAATTTTTAAGGTAAGACCAAAACTATGATATCAGGTTATTTATTTTTTTTGTGCTTTGTTTTTGTTGAATCAAATGGCCAGGTGTCTGTTGTGGTCAACATTTGGAATCTCCATACCTGCCGAAGATGAAGAAACGGTGGGGTGGTTGATCTCAAGAACAAAGCATCCTGGGAAGTAAAACCGGAATCATGGGATGAAACACTTGTTAGACGAAGAGAGCCTGGCAGGGGATGCTGCTGTATGTAAAACAAAAAGATATTGGACATGCCAAAAGTAAAATGTTTTTAGAGGAAAGTCAATCCAAACCAAGACAGTTACGGATTGGAGGAGTTTACAAGGCCAGTTGGAAAGATGAAGAACATTTCACATCTTCATTTGCCACAATGGCAGTCCAGAGAATTTCTGTATGCGATTGTGGTCATTTTAATAGTAGTTTTTGAGGGTTAAAAAGTAAGAGAGAAAAAGTGAAAGATAAAGAGGAAAGCAGTTTTAATAAATATGCATTTCCAGAGGCAGAAAGATAACTTCTTTTTTTGTGAAAATATATTCAAGATTATTGGGGGGGGTGTTAATAAATATATCTATTTTTTTGTGAGGTTTGTAAAATGCAGCTTGGGTTTTAATGTTAGAGTGTAAAAATGTATTTTGGATTTTTTGGGAAGGTTGTAAAAATTTATTATTGATTTTTTATGGGATTGTATTCTGGATTTTTTTTGTGGAGGTGTAAAATGTATTCTGGATTTGTTTTTTGTGAGGGTGTAAAACATTTTCTGGATTTTTTGGTGCAGGTGTAAAACCTATTCTAGATTTTCAAAAAATCTGAATTTAATTTAGAAGCAATAAAAATCTTTTTACTTTTTCTAATGCTTTCTATATGTGAAAAAAAAAACAATATTAACTAATATTTAAAGCTAGACATTTCCTTGTTAATTTCATTCTATATACACAGTATGGAAAAAAGAAGTGGTTTCCTATAAATTTTTTGACACATTTTTTTCATTATGTTAATTCATAAATTTTGAACAGCCACAAACATTTGCTTCATTAACAAAGAACCTCTTCATATCAATAAACAGGCACTAAAGTATCTTGAACAAGTGTTTTTCATACATGGAGGTCACAATATGACATCTACTGATTAACATGATCTTAATTTCATAATTTTACTTTATAGAATGCTCAATTTTAAACAGTATATACACTTGAGAGTACACTTGTTGAAAAATTTAACTAAAATACTAAAGTTGATATTTACCTAAATAATTTAAAGCACTGGTTTTAGAGACTAAAGCAAAATTAAATATTTTCATCAATTAGTTCAATGAGTTCTAAGTAATAAGATTCAAATCCTAAAATCAATTAATATTATTTATTCCATATAGTTTAATAGAGCTTCATAACATTCAGTGCTATCATCAGTGCACCCTACAATTCAGCACTGTCATCGGGCCACCCTACAATTCAGCTCTATCGTCAGGCCACCCTACATTTGGACTATTATCAAGGCTACACTACATTAAGTGCCATGATCATAAACTTAAAGTTTTCTATTGCTATTGGATATTTACTGTCAATAAAACCTGCATTTGTTTGAATGTCAACATTTTTTAAAATTATATTTCTATGATATAACAATCAGAAGATTTTTCCCATTACTGATTTCTATAAGGATGTTTATATGTATGATGAAAGCAAGTGTAGGCTAAAAAGTAATTGATGTAAAATCCAAAACAAATGTATAAAGTTCAAATTTATCCTGATGTTTTGTGAATGCAAAAATCTTCCATATCCAAAAGAGACTGACTTTGATATAAATTCATCAAATATCAGTAGCTGAGTTTGAATTCCAATCAACTGTTATATTCACTTTTGTGCCAATACTCTTGGGAAAGGCATGAATTCATCTCTTTTCCCTCCAGCTATGAATTAAATAGTGGGGCAGACTAGGTTTTCTAGTCATAGTTGGTAACCAGTCTAGGAGACTCAATTCAAAAACGTATATAGCTCTGGTATAGCACATACTACGCAGCCATTGACAATATCATAGAGTTCACAATGATTATAATCTTGACTGTGTTAATGTATTTGTTGATAATATTGATGTTAAAGTTTTATTATTTCCTGCATTGGTTGTAGTTATATGAGGGACGCATCCTCCTTCCACAGGTCCAGAAAGTTTTGTTAGATCATTGAAAGGACTAGGAGAACATAGGTTTAATTTTTTGAGGTGGGGAGTAGAAATGGAGGCGGGGGTAGATATCAAGTCATGCAAGTCAAATTCAGTTATTTGCCAGTATTGCATGCAATATTGAGAAACAGGCCATTTTTCTTGTAGATAAAGATAATTAGTCATTTTTCTTCAAAGATGGTTTGTAAAAAAAAAAAAAAATGTATGGATGGCAAAAACATGCAAAGAATTATTGGAACTCAAATTGCCTTGCAAACTTTGTTACCACTGCGACAGATTGAATCAATATATTAATTGATTGATTTCAATATATTGATTGATTGAAAAAAATCATGCAAAATTTAAAAACAAACTTCTTTTCCAGACTTAACATCAGAATCTGTCTATATTTCTGAGATGAGGTATTATGTACATTATTCGGACTATTGTCCTCATCTTTGTCGCCATATTTATCACAATGTTTTGGCCGTTGTACGCTCCAACCACCTGAAGAAGGCCGGAGTGTACAACGGCCGAAACGTTGTGATAAATATGGCGACAAAGATGGAGGACAATAGTCCGAATAATGTAAATAATTAACATCAAAAGTTTCAACATAAAATTGTTTGATATTGGAATCTCCCTAAAGACCTTTTTTTTATACACATCAATTGACATGAATTTTTTTTCACTACATTCTAGCATTTTAAATTACTGAAATTTAAAAAATATATGCACAAGACTGATTTTTCAAACATTTTTGGTATTTACTAGATTAAGAATTTTGACATTAAATAGCTCAAGTAAATTTTGATCCAATAAAAACAACACTGAATGTTTTCATTATACTGAAGATTTTTCATGCTTTTATTTCAAATGCTGATTTGCTTCTTTAAAATATTGTTTATCTAAGATTGAATTGTGATTGTAATTAACATCACCAGTGATCTTTATATTTGTTTTTTTGTTGCAAGGGTTAAATGTGAAAAAAATAACTAATTTTATAAAATTAAAAAATTGTCATTGGCATAAATATCTATCAGATTTTTCTGGCATTTCATGGATTTAAAATATTTCTGTAATTCTGTCAAGTGTATTAAAAAATGAACTATCAAAGCCTTTGTATTAATAAACTGGCAAACAAATAAAAATAAAATAAAGTTTAGTTATTTTAGGTACTGTAGTTTAGATACTGTCTAAATTGTATTATTTTGAAAATATTTATAAAGTAACTAGTGAATGAGGTTTGTGACCATTATAGAATATTGTATAATTTATCTAAGACATTCTTATGCAAGGGAAGGATTGAAAATAAATTTTGAGTCAAGTTCAAGAAAGATAATGGTTACGTCATGACTTAAGCTTGATTGATTTTTTTTTTTTTTTTTACAGATAATCAACCTTTTGCAGGTTATTTAGAGCCAGAAAATAGATTGTAAGAATTTTTGGAGATAATGATTTACTGATACAAGTTTTACTAATTAACACATAGCTGGAGATGGAAGAGGCAGATTCTTTCCCCTAGTGTATTTTCACGTAAGTGAATATAACGAAACCAACTGGAATTGGAACTGCTCTTTGATCTTCAATTTCAAGCTGTTATCTATTACACTACCCACACATCCAAGGTTATGGCACCTGGTATTTTCAAGTTGTCACCCATCTAGGTATTGACTAGGTTTGATGTTGTTTAACTTTGGTGATCATACAAGAACTGGTGTTTCAATGTGATATGGCTATAAGCCTCATGACTTTTAGGATCATAATTTATAGAAATGTGAAAATCAGTTGGATTTATGTTTTGTAAATTGTTTTTGTTGTAAAGACCTTAAAATTTACTTTTTTCGTAAATTTCAAATTGCAACCAGGCCAATTGTTTTTGTTCCATAAAAAAAAAAAAAAAAAAAAAAAAACAATTAAAACAACTAAAAGGAAAGTAACCCAGATCATTTATAACATTCAATTCTAGCAGCAACAAGCAGCATAATTGGCAGCAGAATCATGTGTGATCTTTTTAAAAAAAAATAAAAAATAAATGCCTTGCTGAATGCATTAAGCAGATGAAACTAAAATGTAATGAGAAATATTGACAAATGGAGCAACATAGTATTGCCTTTTTTGTCAATACATGTTATCCAGCACTCATGGAAGATGCAATGAAAGATGAAGAAACAGATGAGAAGGGAGAGGAAAAAAATATTGGGAAAAAAAAAAAAAAAAAAAAAAAAGAGAGAAAGAAAAGTTGCAAATAAAATGAACTTGGGTAAAAAGGAAATGTGCAGATCTTAAAGAAAACCAAGTTTGTTTCCACACAGAAAATGAAAGTGAAAGTGAAAGAGGAATCTATGTTGGAAAATTATTTCACTTTTATTTGGGGAAGTTTCTTTTTAAAATTGCAATATTTGAGTCATTTTTGCATTCAATGACTTCAGCATGAACAGGTAATAAAAAAAAAATTTCTGAAAAAATCTGAACTTAAATCTTAAACCTTGGACACCTGTCAGACAAATACAAACTAATGACAAATTAACAACACCACTTCATCTAAGGAATTTGTACAGCTTATGGTGTTACAATGTGTCTCTTTAATACCAACCAATTTCATAAATTTTATTTATATCTATATTTCAGAAATTGGCACAGCAAAGAAAGTTTTTTTTTTTAAATTTCAAGGCTGTATTTTTTATAAAAATTTCAGAAATATGTATATTAATGAGAAAAAATTCTGAATTAGAAATTAAAATCATGTAGACCTAAGAATATATAAGGTATTTAAACATTTTAATAATAAATTCTTATATTATACAAGTCCTATAAAACTAACAATCAATATCTTAAGTAGAATTCACTTATTTCCTTGATAAGCCAATAGCATTAATTTTTAAGTAGTTTTTTTTTTTCTTTAACTACTTAACAGATTATATTTTATGGCCATTTTTAAACAAGCAGCAAAAAAAAAAAAAAAAAAAAAAGAGCCTCTAATGAACTAGTGTCCCACATTCTTGGGACCTACCTTTACAAATTTAGCCAGAGGCCAAAAGGATGGTGGAATGAAATCTAATCATACAA